CGAGCAGGCGCTAGTTGAAGAGCCAAACGGGCAGGCTGCGAAAATTGCCAACGATGAACACCCACGGGCGGACGCCGTTTGAAATATTGAAAAACTTCGCACAACTCGATGGCAACTACATAATTAGTTTTCGCCAGCTTCTAAGCTGGAAAATTTAACAACAATTTCCACCGAGATCAGTTTATCGAAGAAGAAACATATTAACGGGTTATCAATTAAAGTCTACTCAATTTGGGAAGCAAGTACTTGAAGCTTTACGAAATTCACAATTCATTGAGCAATAATATACTTGTAAATAATTATGACTTAGAGCAAATAAAACGAAGAAGAGTTCTGTTGTCGGGAGTGCACAACTAGCAGATATCCTATAGTTGCAAAAATTATAGAGTTAACAATATGGGGAATTCATTTTTGATTATCTTCGGTGCATAAAGTCCGATCTTTATAAAATTGACAAAGCTTAAATATAGTTGTGTAGGTCCCAAAGAGCAAAGCTTTAGGCTTTTCCAATTTTGGAGAGAAAATCGGTGGAAATATCCAAAAAGGATATATTGGCAATCTGTATAAGCTATATGAGAACCAATTTGGTGTAACTAGTTTTTATATTTCTCAATAAATCTTGATCAATTTGAAGCTTTCTGCTAAAGAATGTATACTCTTTAAGTGGTCGGTAATAGTCAGTATACCCTTTCTAACTTAGGATAAAAAAGCATTGAACTTTGATTAGGGTTTAAATTGATGTTTCAGTTCCAGTTTCTTGATTAACACTGAATCTGCTATAGTTTTTCATTTTAAGGTAAACTTAAGTTAATATGTGATGAAAAGAAACTGTTGCGTAAAAGACAATTGAACACTTGACTTGATCTTATAAAAATAGAGGTTAAATAAACTTAGTTCAGCTATTTTCTTTGCCGGCATGTCAAGCAAAGTATGTCACAAATTTCGCGACACGCTGTCGAAACTTTAAGTCAATCAAAAAAAACAATTTTTGAAAAGTGTGCAGCACAAATTCGATGCCAAAAACTTGAGCAGATTTTCCAAAAATAAAAATAAAAATAAAAATGGTTAAGTATATTTGACAAGTTTATTGTGCGGTGGCAGGGTGCTCTTGCGCGGGCGGGACGGGGCGGGTGCGGGGGCGCTTGGTGGGCGTGGGCTGGTGAGTGTACACTGCGCGCTTGTTTAACTTAAATTGCTTTGCTGCTGCTGCAGCAATGCCGAAACAAAGGCCAACAACTGCAACAACTTTGCTCAATGCGCTTCCGTTTCCGTTTAACCCCCACACCGACAGCCCCCTGCAACGCCCTGACAGGAGCCAAACTTTGGCATTGTTGTCTTTGGCGTTGCCTGCGGCAATCACTTTCGTTCTAGCAGTTCCTTCTTTAGTTAGCGCAGACACCCACCAGCTCACACACACACACACACACACACACACCCCCTCGCCAGGCAACCCCTGCACACCTTCCTCTTGGCCGACTCGTTGAACCGCCAAACACTTCCGTTGGCTTCCGACGCGTCGCGACGTTGCGCAAAGTTGAAGTATGAAACGCATTTTTTTCCAAAATATATTTTAAGCTCCAATGTTGGATTTACCCCAAAGGAATTGCATACGTTTTTGATTGAGCAATTAGGGAATGCACAAGAAAAGCACAGGCGGCGACTGGGATGGGGGGTGAGTTTGGCATTTGAAATTTGAAATTTAATTTGAAGTGTCAGACGCAAAGTGTACACTTTTCATAATTTGACTGCTCTGCGGATAGGGAATTCAGTTCGTGGGTTTAGCTATGGATTTAACTATGGTTTCACGCTTGAGCCACAGTGGGCGTGGCCAGACCATGCAATGGACAACAGCAGAAACCACAGTCATGATTAGTGGTCAAATGACTTTTGTGCGCTGCCATCGCCCATGGCCGCAGTTGAATTTGTTTAAAGCCCCAGCCCCCACTTGCCCCACGGCACAGTTAATGTTCGTGTGTGTGTGTGTGTGTGTGTGCGGCACTCGATGCTCTGGCATTTGGGCTGGGCTGCATCATGGGTACTTCCAGTTTTATGTGCCTGGTATTGACAGAGAGTCCATCAATTTGCATTTCATTATTTTGCTGCAGTTAAGAGCTTTTCGGGTGTTCAGCGCTTAACATTATGAAAATTAAATGTTGTTTATCAAAAAATTGGCGTTTTAAATTAAAACAATAAAACTAGCTCATCGAGTCAAGTTTTTTCTTCCCCTTTAAACTGTCAGGACTTTTCATGTTTTCAATACCTTAAAATAGTTCGAAATCGATTGAAATTTTGTTCCTTTCTTTTTTTTACATTCAAACATTTTTAATCTTTTCCACTTTATAATTTGTGCCTAACATAAATTACTTTCTTTAAATATAATACATGTTATATATATAGAAAATACTTTCCTCCGGTTAAAATGAACTCCTTCTTATAACAAATACGATATACGCTTTAAAATTGGACTCCCATCTTCATGTATATTTACTTTTCGCTTACCGCAGATAATTCAATAGCAGAAAAAGAGATCTACCAGATAAAAGAGGAAAAGCAATTGACATTAAAAAGGCAACCGTTTAATTACAAGTGGCAATCGACATTTACAGAGCTTCTCAGCTGAACCACACCATTAAAAAAGGGAAGAACAAATATAAAAACAATGCGAAAGAAATGCAAACATGTGCAATTTTCACTCTTAACTTTAATTGCGTGTGTGTGAGTGTGAGTGTGTGCGTGTGTGGTTGCACGTGTGTGCAAATGGGTGTTGAATGGAGTACAGCTAAAAGCAAATGTGCGAATGCCGAGACAACACATTTTCCCATTAAATTAGATTTAATTTGAAAATGGCAAAAATGTTTTTCTACCCACACAGCAAAAGCAAAGCGAACAACAAGAAAAATAAGCGCGAAAAGACGTAAAAAGTCACAACATAGAAATATCATATAGAAAATGGAGTCACGTTTGCCCTCAATGGCATCAGTCTCTTGGGAACGAAAACCACAATCATACACATCTCCCCATAAGCTGCATAACATTTGAATACGCGCGCATGCTTCAGCTACGGCTGCTAGGCAACACTGGCTGTGTCGACTTGCAACACTCTTGGCGTGTCTTAACTATCGGTGCGGCTATCGAATGCGCAGTTCCGAGCAGCTGTTAAGAAATCGGAACTGGTAGTCAAATGAAGCGGTACTTTTAAGCAAGTTTTATTTTCAAATTTTGCGAACATAAGCAAAATATTTGAAAATTAATAAAAATAATGTATAAGACACTCAATAATGAAAGATGATAAGGAACAATAAGCTTGTAGCTAACAAGTTAGATGAAGTACCACGCCTTATTTTCAACTAAAACACTAATAACAATGTCTTCTAGTCACGTTATCTTCAATTTAGCAAAAAACCAAAATTATATATTTACCCAAATTGAATGTCTTCTTTGATTTCATAAAGCGATTATAAAGCCCGCCTTCCGCTGGCATCGACACGCGAACCGCATATAAACATATTGCAATTAAAACTGTCAAAGTTCATGGCGAAGGTTAAGGTGCATGCAATTTTAATTAAGCTTTAATTGTCGCTAGAAAACAAGAGAACTCCCACCAAGTTGGCCCCTAAGTGTGCACACACGAGTTGGTAAGAGAAAAAACCATTAGGCGCGCTGAAATATGAGCCACAGCTAAGAAACACTGAATTCCCTACTTTAGTATGATAATTAAAATTTAAATGGCATATGGAAATTAAAAAACAGTATTGTCTAAAGAATTCGGGTGAAAATATGACTAAAAGTAATGTAATTAATAAAATGTTGTTCATGTGTGTAAATTTCTATTTATGCTTAAAGCCTTAAAAGCAGGTTTTTGAATTGATTATTTATGGATAAATTGCTTTTTAAATAATTGTTCATCTAAACCAATATGTCCACTCAAATTGTACGCCAACTGGTTTTTAATTATGGCCAGCGAACTAACGGCAACAGCAAATGCGCAACACTAACCAACACTAACCGCAGGACATAATAAATACTGCAATGTCCAGCTAACATGCAACCGTATGGCAAAAAGTAGCAGCTGGTTCAGGTGAAAAATGCACTTTGAATTTGTATTTGCAATGCAAAACAGGCGCCCAACATCGGTTTCGCATACGCCCTAAACGCCACAAATAAAAACTAATGATTTTCACATTATACCAGCCCGGCAAAGCCGCCGCACGCAAGCGAACGCAGTCGGAGGCAAACTTCTGATTGCATGTACAGTTTTTCAGCCCAATAGCTGGTAATTAATTGAATTGACTTACCATGTGCAGCAAAAGCCTACGAGCCGTAATCCTTTTCCATTTTTCGTAGGGTATTTTTAAGTCGATAAGCTGCTTGACACACACTTGGCCGGGCTTTTTGCGCCAATTTGTTTTTCCACGTTGTCTGGCGTGAATATGATGTGCTGTTATTGTTTTTACAAAGTCGCTGGCGAATATCACAATTAATGGACACCGATTATGTGTTTTTATTATTTTTAACTTGAAAAACAGGCGTTTTAACATATTTTCTTCACCATGCACTCATCACAGCAAAATGCGCGAAATTTAACTGTAAAATAAATTGAACAATGTATGCAGGTTAAAACCTTTGCTAGTATGCAGCTTAACTAAGCAAATAATTTATCTTAAGGCAAGCAAAACAAATTTGGTCATAATATGTGTGTGCTATAATATATGCTTATAGCAATTATTAACAATATGTTCCTAATAAAGTTTTAACCTTACAAATATGTAGAACGTATTATGATTTCTAGTGCGCATAATTATGTTGGTCTGCTTCCAATTTGTGTGAACAGCATACTAATTCTAAAAGAGCAAACATATGCGCCGTTAATGTTGCCACCTTGATAAACCGGCAAGAAGAGCAACACATATGCGCACATTTTGTAAACAATAAATTGGAATTGGTTCAATTGGCAACGCTGCAATATATTTGCGTTATTTACTCTACAGAAAAAAAAAGAGAATTACTTTAAAAATAGTTTTGATCGCTAAAAATTATTAAATAAACTCATTAGAACAAGGTTTTAGCCCACACGCATGACCGGCATGAAATTTGACAGTTCTTTGCCGAGCTGCAGCAAACGACAATAGCGAAAACGACCATAAAAACGGCCGCGAAACAAAATTTTCGCCGAAACGATATAAAAGTTATTTGGCCGGCAGTGAAAGGCTCAGTTTTACATGAGCAGCGCAGGGCAGAGCAACGCGCGAGGACGAGCAGCAGCTGCAGTTGGCAAAAGAAGGAGTCTAAGGCAGCGACAAAAACATTGTTGGCGTGACTGCGGCGCATTAAATCAACGTGTGAAACACAAACCGGAAGTGCATCGCCGCCGCCACAACCGACCCTGACCCTGTCTGGCCCACACCAGGCGCAACTGGTGGTCGCAATGGATGTCGATGTCTATGCCTGGGTAAGTGAGCCGGCGGGCGACATCGCCAGCTTTGACGACCCTAAGCAAATGTCATTTGCAATGCAAATTAATGAGCGATTTCCTTTGGTTGCGCACAGGGCGCCAATTCTCACGGTCAGCTTGGCCTTGGCTACGAGTCGGAGCTGTGCATGGTACCGCAGCGGCTATCCAAATGCTCATTTCAGCCGCAGCTAGTGCGCTGCATACGCGGCGGTGGTGGTCATGTGTTAATCCTGGACAGAAATGGGCGGGTGCACTCCTGCGGCTGGAACAATCGTGGCCAGCTGGGCCTCGACTCAACAGAGGAATGCCACAATGAGTTTGCCATGGTACCCACAGAATACTTTGAGGTGGGCGGCCGATAATCCACAAACAGCTGAATCACTTTTAATTCATCTTTCACGCAGGAAGTACCCGTGGAGTCCATCAGCTGCGGCTGGGATATTTCAGGCGCCATTACGCTGACCAAGCGCCTGTTTGTCTGGGGCTCCAATGCGTTTCAGCAGCTCGGGATTTGTCAGCGAGGATTTACGTCAGTGCGTCGCCCTATGCCTGTGCGTCTACCACGAGATGAGGCGGCGCAGCGCTTGAGCTTTGGTCTGCGCTTCTGCGCGGTGCTCTCACAGGATAGAAAAATCTATATATTCGGCCGTTTGCGCATTATGGATCCCGCGCCCATCGAACTGGACATTACTTCAACCACGTTGCATCGCTGCAACGTGATGAAAATACAAGCGCACAATCCCAATGAGCTGCGCATTGTCACACTGGTCAGTGGACAGAATCACATGCTGCTGAAGTGCGTGAATATGGAAGCGGGCGACAGCAGGCGCATTGTGGCACTAGGCGACAACAAGTACTGCCAGGCGAATGCCTTTCAGTTCGAGGAGGATGTGGGACAGCTCGCCGTTGGCTGGACCCACAATGCGGCTCTGCTGAAAACCAACGACGTTTTGCTCTGGGGGCGTAATTGCTATGGCCAACTGGGCATCGGCCAATTTAGTGAGCAGCAGGCAACGCCAACCCCGTTGAAGCTGCAACTGGAGGAGGGAAGAACGCCGGCACGCCTTCACATGGGCGCCGAGCACGGATTGCTGCGCACCACAGCTGGCGAGATCTATACCTGGGGCTGGAATGAGCATGGCAATTGCGGCAACAATGCCACAGAGAATTTGTAAGTGAAAATGGGAGATAAGGGAAATCTTTTATTTAGATAAACTTTTCTACTTGAGTGTCTGAAGTTTAGGGCTTAATCGTATTGAAGTTTAACAGATATGGTTTTTTACTAGAACATGGAGTGAATCTAAATTTGAATGAAATTCTATAATTTATAATTGTAAGTGACCTTTTTTGATCAGAATAATGCGATTATGACTGTAATTTGGGTCTATAAATGAGAACTTAGTCGAAAATTTTGATGGGATATGCTAAGTTATAACAAAGTGTTAGAGAGTTAGATTTAATTAGAAATTTTCAAGTATAGATAAACCATGGACAACTTGTAAACCCTTTCATTTCTATTTTTCAGATGTGTTCCAACATTAATAAAGCTGCCTGGATACGCAAAATTGGCCGGAACTGGCGCAGGATTCTGTTATGCTATAGTGGAAGCGGTTGATGTGGAGACTGCGGCTCCACAAACGCTCTAAAAATGGGAAATATTAACCCTCGCCTGACTCTGACGGCTGTTGTTTTAAAATGTTGTTATAATTGTATAATAAATCGCATATTGTTATTTATAAAAGTGACGTTTCCTATTAAGTTACTATTATTTGTATACCCTGAACCCACTAAAAATGGGTATAAGGGTATATTGTATTTGTGCGAAAGCCAAATGTATGTAACAGGCAGAAGGAAGCAACTCCGACCCCATAAAGTATATATATTCTTGATCAGCATAAATAGCTGAGTCGATCTATCCATGTCCGTCTGTCTGTCCGTCCGTCCGTCCGTCCATCCGTCCGTCCGTCCGTATGTATGAACGCAAGGATCTCAGAACCTATGAGAGCTTGGCGTTTTCTTCATGGTTTTCCCTCTAGATTAATCTGGCATTCAAATCTCGACACCGATTTTTTAGTCAAAATGCATGTCCAAATCTTACCCCAAGATTCGTATATAGTCATAGGTCAAAAATTATCACCCCCATAACTCGGTCAAATCTCATCCGATTTCCACGAAGTTTGGCTTTTTCATCATGGTTTTCCCTCTAGATTAATCTGGCATTCAAGTCTCGACACCGATTTCTTAGTCGAAATGCATGCCCAAATCTTACCCCAAGATTCGTATATAGACATGGGTCAAAATTTACCACCCCCATATCTCGGTCAAATCTCATCCGATTTTCACGAAGTTTGGCGTTTTCTTCATGGTTTTCCCTCTAGATTAATGTGGCATGCAAATATGAACACCGATTTTTTAGTCGAAATTCATGTCCAAATCTTACCCCAAGATTCGTATATAGACAAGGGTCAAAATTTACCACCCCCATATCTCGGCCAAATCTCATCCGATTTCCACGAAGTTTGGCGTTTTCTTCATGGTTTTCCCTCTAGATTAATCTGGCATTCAAATATGAACACCGATTTTTTAGTCGAAATTCATGTCCAAATCTTAACCCAAGATTCGTATATAGACATGGGTCAAAAATTACCACCCCCATAACTCGGTCAAATCTCATCCGATTTTCACGAAGGTTGGCGTTTTCTTCATGGTTTTCCCTCTAGATTAATCTGGCATTCAAATCTCGACACCGATTTTTTGGTCGAAATTCATGTCCAAATCTTACCCCAAGATTCGTATATAGACATGGGTCAAAACTTACCAACCCCATAACTCGGTCAAATCTCATCCGATTTTCACGAAGTTTGGCTTTTTCTTCATGGTTTTCCCTCTAGATTAATCTGGCATTCAAATCTCGACACCGATTTTTTGGTCGAAATTCATGTCCAAATCTTACCCCAAGATTCGTATATAGACATGGGTCAAAAATTACCACCCCCATAACTCGGTCAAATCTCATCCGATTTTCACGAAGTTTGGCGTTTTCTTTATGGTTTTCCCTCTAGATTATTCTGGCATTCAAATCTCGACACCGATTTTTTGGTCGAAATTCATGTCAAAATCTTACCCCAAGATTCGTATTTAGACATGGGTCAAAAATTACCACCCCCATAACTCGGTCAAATCTCATCCGATTTTCACGAAGCTTGGCGTTTTCTTCATGGTTTTCCCTCTAGATTAATCTGGCATTCAAATCTCGACACCGATTTTTTGGTCGAAATTCATGTCCAAATCTTACCCCAAGATTCGTATATAGACATGGGTCAAAAATTACCAACCCCATAACTCGGTCAAATCTCATCCGATTTTCACGAAGTTTGGCTTTTTCTTCATGGTTTTCCCTCAAGATTAATCTGGCATTCAAATCTCGACACCGATTTTTTGGTCGAAATTCATGTCCAAATCTTACCCCAAGATTCGTATATAGACATGGGTCAAAAATTACCAACCCCATAACTCGGTCAAATCTCATCCGATTTTCACGAAGTTTGGCGTTTTCTTCATGGTTTTCCCTCTAGATTATTCTGGCATTCAAATCTCGACACCGATTTTTTGGTCGAAATTCATGTCCAAATCTTACCCCAAGATTCGTTTATAGACATGGGTCAAAAATTACCATCCCCATAACTCGGTCAAATCTCATCCGATTTTCACGAAGGTTGGCGTTTTCTTCATGGTTTTCCCTCTAGATTAATCTGGCATTCAAATCTCGACACCGATTTTTTGGTCGAAATTCATGTCCAAATCTTACCCCAAGATTCGTATATAGACATGGGTCAAAACTTACCAACCCCATAACTCGGTCAAATCTCATCCGATTTTCACGAAGTTTGGCTTTTTCATCATGGTTTTCCCTCTAGATTAATCTGGCATTCAAGTCTCGACACCGATTTCTTAGTCGAAATGCATGTCAAAATCTTACCCCAAGATTCGTATTTAGACATGGGTCAAAAATTACCACCCCCATAACTCGGTCAAATCTCATCCGATTTTCACGAAGTTTGGCTTTTTCTTCATGGTTTTCCCTCTAGATTAATCTGGCATTCAAATCTCGACACCGATTTTTTGGTCGAAATTCATGTCCAAATCTTACCCCAAGATTCGTATATAGACATGGGTCAAAAATTACCAACCCCATAACTCGGTCAAATCTCATCCGATTTTCACGAAGTTTGGCGTTTTCTTCATGGTTTTCCCTCTAGATTATTCTGGCATTCAAATCTCGACACCGATTTTTTGGTCGAAATTCATGTCCAAATCTTACCCCAAGATTCGTTTATAGACATGGGTCAAAAATTACCATCCCCATAACTCGGTCAAATCTCATCCGATTTTCACGAAGGTTGGCGTTTTCTTCATGGTTTTCCCTCTAGATTAATCTGGCATTCAAATCTCGACACCGATTTTTTGGTCGAAATTCATGTCCAAATCTTACCCCAAGATTCGTATATAGACATGGGTCAAAACTTACCAACCCCATAACTCGGTCAAATCTCATCCGATTTTCACGAAGTTTGGCTTTTTCATCATGGTTTTCCCTCTAGATTAATCTGGCATTCAAGTCTCGACACCGATTTCTTAGTCGAAATGCATGTCAAAATCTTACCCCAAGATTCGTATTTAGACATGGGTCAAAAATTACCACCCCCATAACTCGGTCAAATCTCATCCGATTTTCACGAAGCTTGGCGTTTTCTTCATGGTTTTCCCTCTAGATTAATCTGGCATTCAAATCTCGACACCGATTTTTTGGTCGAAATTCATGTCCAAATCTTACCCCAAGATTCGTATATAGACATGGGTCAAAAATTACCAACCCCATAACTCGGTCAAATCTCATTCGATTTTCACGAAGTTTGGCTTTTTCTTCATGGTTTTCCCTCTAGATTAATCTGGCATTCAAATCTCGACACCGATTTTTTGGTCGAAATTCATGTCCAAATCTTACCCCAAGATTCGTATATAGACATGGGTCAAAAATTACCAACCCCATAACTCGGTCAAATCTCATCCGATTTTCACGAAGTTTGGCGTTTTCTTCATGGTTTTCCCTCTAGATTAATCTGGCATTCAAATGTGAACACCGATTTTTTAGTCGAAATTCATGTCCAAATCTTACCCCAAGATTCGTATATAGACATGGGTCAAAAATTACCACCCCCATAACTCGGTCAAATCTCATCCGATTTCCACGAAGTTTGGCGTTTTCTTCATGGTTTTCCCTCTAGATTAATCTGGCATTCAAATCTCGACACCGATTTTTTGGTCGAAATTCATGTCCAAATCTTACCCCAAGATTCGTATATAGACATGGGTCAAAAATTACCAACCCCATAACTCGGTCAAATCTCATCCGATTTTCACGAAGTTTGGCTTTTTCTTCATGGTTTTCCCTCTAGATTAATCTGGCATTCAAATCTCGACACCGATTTTTTGGTCGAAATTCATGTCCAAATCTTACCCCAAGATTCGTATATAGACATGGGTCAAAAGTTACCAACCCCATAACTCGGTCAAATCTCATCCGATTTTCACGAAGTTTGGCGTTTTCTTCATGGTTTTCCCTCTAGATTATTCTGGCATTCAAATCTCGACACCGATTTTTTGGTCGAAATTCATGTCCAAATCTTACCCCAAGATTCGAATATAGACATGGGTCAAAATTTACCACCCCCATATCTCGGTCAAATCTCATCCGATTTTCACGAAGTTTGGCTTTTTCTTCATGGTTTTCCCTCTAGATTAATGTGGCATGCAAATATGAACACCGATTTTTTAGTCGAAATTCATGTCCAAATCTTACCCCAAGATTCGTATATAGACAAGGGTCAAAATTTACCACCCCATATCTCGGCCAAATCTCATCCGATTTCCACGAAGTTTGGCGTTTTCTTCATGGTTTTCCCTCTAGATTAATCTGGCATTCAAATATGTACACCGATTTTTTAGTCGAAATTCATGTCCAAATCTTACCCCAAGATTCGTATATAGACATGGGTCAAAAATTACCACCCCCATAACTCGATCAAATCTCATTCGATTTTTACGAAGTTTGGCTTTTTATTCATGGTTTTCCCTCTAGATTAATGTGACATTCAAATCTCGACACCGATTTTTTGGTCGAAATTCATGTCCAAATCTTACCCCAAGATTCGTATGTAGACATGGGTCAAAAATTACCACCCCCATAACTCGGTCAAATCTCATCCGATTTCCACGAAGTTTGGCGTTTTCTTTATGGTTTTCCCTCTAGATTAATCTGGCATTCAAATATGAACATCGATTTTTTAGTCGAAATTCATGTCCAAATCTTACCCCAAGATTCGTATATAGACATGGGTCAAAAATTACCAACCCCATAACTCGGTCAAATCTCATCCGATTTTCACGAAGTTTGGCGTTTTCTTCATGGTTTTCCCTCTAGATTATTCTGGCATTCAAATCTCGACACCGATTTTTTGGTCGAAATTCATGTCCAAATCTTACCCCAAGATTCGTATATAGACATGGGTCAAAAATTACCATCCCCATAACTCGGTCAAATCTCATCCGATTTTCACGAAGTTTGGCGTTTTCTTCATGGTTTTCCCTCTAGATTAATCTGGCATTCAAATGTGAACACCGATTTTTTAGTCGAAATTCATGTCCAAATC